CGGCTCCCCCCACTTCCTGGACATGGTGGGCTCAGCCCCTTCTCCTCACGTCTCCAGGCTCATGACCTCCCGGAGGTACTACTTTGAGCTGCTGCACAAGCAGGACGACCGTGGCTCGGACCATGTGGAAGTGGGCGTGAGTGTGGCCTCCCACTCCCCCCACCCCGCAGAAGCTTCTGGAGGCTCCATTCCCACCACCTCCCTGCAGGACAACTGCAGTGGGGTCCCCATCCCAAAGATGACAAAGCAGATGGTCAGGGCTGGGAGCCTGAGGAGGGTCTGCTCTGCCCTCCCGGGGGCTCGTGCGCTTCCCTGAGGAGTCACCCTTGAGTAGAGTCTTGAGGGGACGCAGGCGTTCAATAGAGATGTGGGGGCAGAGAATTCAGGCTGCGGTGCACAGCAGGTGAATTCCCGACCATGAGAACAGCGAAGGAAGGACCCAGCAGAGGAACCACGTCTTGGGGACTAGGAGGGATCTGGTGGCCAGGGCAGGCGGGGCCTGGGCGCTCTGGACAGACAGGGCTTTGTCCTGAGAATGAGGCCATCGGATTTGCATTCCAGGAAACAACCCTGGCCGCAGAATGAGAGAGCCTGGGGGAAGGATTTTTACTGTGGCCTTTGGTCCTTGAACCCAGGGAGGTGGCCGGGATGGATGGGGGAGGGGGAAGGGGTGACACCACAAGGCAGGGCCTGGAGCCTCATGGGTGTGGGGGGCTGCACCACATTGCCTGTGCCTGTGTGTACGGGGCGCGTTTCACCCCAGCTCAGTTGGGCAGAGGGCCCAAGCTGGAGACAGGGGTTTGGGGGGGTCTGTGGAGGCCCCAGGATGAGGTGAGAACAGCCCCTGGAGCCCCAACTTGGTGGGGGGGCAGAGAGGTCTAGTGGAGGGGGCACCAGGCCTGGGCCTTAGAGGCCGGCAGTGACCTCTCTGGGAGTGCGTGGTGTTGGAAGTCACAACCTGAGGCCCACAGGGTCTCAGGGAGGGAGGGAAGGAGGGAGGAGGAAAGCGAGGAAGGGAGCATGGGGGGTCTGGCCCTGCCCCTGGGGCCCCTCAGCTTTCTGGGCCTCCTTCCCCAGCTTCCCTGCTTCCCCTTCCTGGAAGCCCAGGACCCCTCTGCCATCTCCCCTCCTGCCTCCTTTAAGGGATTAGTCGTAAGAGTCCCCCCCCACCCCCCAGCCAGGGGAGACCCTTTCCTCCCTGGACCCAGCCAGGCGTTCCCGACCTGCACCCTCTCTGCCCTGCAGTGGCGAGCTTTCCTGCCGGGCCTGAAGTTCGAGGTCATCGGCTCTGCTCACATCTCCCTGTACACAGGTGTGGCAGCCGCCTCCGGGGGGGTGCGGCCTCCCGGGATGGGCTCTGGCTGTGAGCAGGAAGAGCGGAGGAGGGGGTCCGAGCACTCCTGGGAACTCCTCTGCCCCCAGATGAGACAGCCCTGAAGATGGACCACGTGGCCCACGTCCCCCAGTCTCCAGCCAGCCACGTGGGGGGGCCTCCGCTGCAGGAGGAGACCAGCGCAGACATGCTGCGGCCAGACCCCAGGGACACCTTCTTCCTGAGTGAGAGGGGGCCCGCGCAGGGTGGGGGGGGGGTGCCTGCCCAGCCCCCCTGTGACCGCCCCTCCTGCAGCGCCGCGCGTGGAGCCCTCGAGCCTGGAGGACGTGCTGGAGCCCTGCGCCTACGCCCCCACCTACGTGGTCAAGGACTTCCCCATCGCCAGATACCAGGGGCTGCAATTTGTGAGTGCGGCTGGGGACCCCATCCCGTCCGTCGGGGACTCCATGCAGCCTCCTCCAGCCCCGTGGGAGGCCCGCTCTGAGGACCCGCACCCCGCCGGGCCGCCCTGAGCCCCGTCCCCCACCCCCACCCCAGGTGTACCTGTCCTTCGTGTACCCCAACGACTACACCCGCCTCACGCACATGGAGACCGACAACAAGTGCTTCTACCGCGAGTCTCCGCTGTACCTGGAGAGGTGGGAGCGGGCGGGGAGCGGGAGTGGGCGGGGGTGGGCGGGTGGGGAGGGGCTCGGCTCTGATGCCCGCCCCGCCGCAGGTTTGGGTTTTACAAATACATGAAGATGGACAAGGAGGAGGGCGACGGCGACGAAGAGGAGGAGGTGCAGCGCCGAGCCTTCCTCTTCCTCAGCCCCGACGGTGAGGGTCCCCAGCGCCCCCGGCCCGCACCCACCGTGCGCGGAGCATCTAACCCGCGTTTCCCGCAGACTTCCTGGATGACGAGGACGAGGGGGAGCCGCTGGACCGCCTGGAGCCCACGGAGGCGGCCCCCCCCAGGAGCAGCCCCCCGGTCCCCGCCCCGCCGACCCCTCCCGGCCCCCGGGACGACGGGACCGCCAGGCGCTCCAGGGCCCTGAGTTGGGCCGCCCGTCCCCTGCCGCTCTTCTTGGGCCGAGCTCCGCCCCCGCGCCCCGCCGCGGAGCAGCCGCCCCGGACACCCGGGAAGGTGTACGTGACCAGGGTGCGGCCGGGACAGCGGGCCTCCCCCAGGGCCCCCGCGCCGCGCGCGCCCTGGCCGCCCTTCCCCGGCGTCTTCCTGCGTCCCCGGCCTCTGCCCAGAGTGCAGCTGCGGGCGCCGCCGCGCCCCCCACGGCCCCACGGCCGCAGGACCGGCGGCCCCCAGGTCACAAAGCTGCGGCCTCCAGCCCGGGCGCAGGCCACCCCTGGGGGCCGGGAGAGCCAGGCGCGCACGCTGGGACCTGCGGCGCCCACGGTGGACTCGAACTCGTCCTCCGAAGCACGGCCCGTGACCTCCTTCCTGAGCTTGTCCCAGGTGTCGGGGCCACAGCTGCCGGGGGAGGGCGAAGAGGAGGAGGAGGGGGAGGACGATGGGGCCCCCGGCGACGAGGCCGCGTCGGAGGACAGCGAGGAGGCCGCGGGCCCTGCGCTCGGACGCTGGCATGAGGACGCCATCGACTGGCAGCGCACGTTCAGCGTGGGCGCCGTGGACTTCGAGCTGCTGCGCTCCGACTGGAACGACTTGCGGTGCAATGTGTCGGGGAACCTGCAGCTGCCGGAGGCGGAGGCCGTGGACGTGGTGGCCCAGTACATGGAGCGGCTCAACGCGCGCCACGGCGGGTATAGGGGGCGGGGACGGCCGCGGAGAGGAGGGCCTGGCCTGGGTGGGCCCCTCAGACCTTCCCCAGGGCTCAATGGTGTCCCGGCCTGGGTCTGATGCGCCACCCCCCACCCCAGGGAAGCCCCAGCATCTCCTCTTCCCCCCGGCTTTCCTGACTGCCCAGGGCACTTGTCAGGGACCTTCCTGGAGCCCTACCCAGGGCTGAGGTCCCATCCTTGTACCTGTAAGCCTCACTTCTGTCACCCTGAACCTGGGCACAGGGATGATGAGACCAAGCTGCAGAGATCAGCTCAGTCTCAGTTGCTGGACAGACGGCCTCATTGGGGCCCCAGACCTCTCCTCCTCTCCCCTGGCAGTGCCGGGAGTGTTCCCAGGCGCTCAGGGCCTGACTGCAGCGGAGGGTGCAGGGCCTCTGCCCCATGGGCCCCTCTCATCTCCCCAGGAATCTAGTGCTGTCTGCACTCCATGCAGGCTGTGGGGCGGGAGTGAGGAGCCTAATTTTGCTTTGGGGAGGTGCTGTGGACCTACAAGAAGGGGCAGTGTCTCTTGTGCCAGCCTTGAAGGCGAAGTGGGAGCCGCACAGTGAGGATGGGCAAAGGCAGGGGCAGAGGATGGAGACAGAGCCTCACGGGACTTTCTCTTGTGTGTGATGGAAGATTGTGGGCAGGCAGGAGTCGGCCTGGTTTGGGTGCAGACAGGTGGTGGCTGACAGCCTGGAGCTCTGGGGGGTGGGCACTGGATTCTAGTTGGCTGTGAGGGCACGCCTACCTGTGCAAGGCCTCAGCTTCCTGAGAGCAGCTCATCATCCCAGGGGGGACTCGTGGTGTGGTGATGGTTTCCGCCCCACCTTTGCCCACGTGGGTGTGGAGCAACCTGTAGATACCAAGAACGTTTGGGGCAGGGGGTCGTGGGAAGGACAGGAGTTGGAGGGAGGCGTCTGGATCCCTTACCGGTCACACAGGTCGGCGCCCTTGTGAAGGGCACTGACCGCTGAGGGAGGCCATGAGGCCGACTGAAGAGGAACCTTAGTCTAGGGCAGAGTTCTGTTTTCTCCAGATTAGGAGAACAGAGTGGAGGGAAAGTGAGGTTCTCGGTGGGGCAGGAATGAAGAGGAGGGGGCCAGAAACAGCTTGGGCAGTGTGGCAGCCTCCTCCACGCAGGGGTTAGGATCCGCCCGGAGCTGCTGCCTGGGGAAAGGGGTGCTGTGAAGGCAAGCGGGGCTTCTCAGAAGAGGTGACCCAGGGCCTCAAAGAGGAGGGTCTAGGAAGGCTGGGACAAACATCCCAGCTTGAGGACACTGAAGGACAAAGGCGAGGGGACAGTGGCTGTGCCTGAGGAGGAATCTGCTACCCCAGTAGGAGGAGGGGATTGAAGGCCGCAGGTTAGAAACTGCTCAAGGTCCTAGAATGCTGCAGAAGCGTTTGGAACCTGGTCCCACGGGTGGTGGCAAACTCCTGAAGGTTTCTGAGCAAGGGGGTAACTGGACAGGCAGGCATGTCATAAAGGTCACCTGGGACGTGAGTGGTGGCCAGGAGGCCTGCTGGGAGTCAGGGACGGGACTAGGTGCCCCAGACTTGCCCCGGTGCCCCAGGCTTGCCCCGCCCCAGGAGAGGGTGGCTGGAAGGTGGACCTGCCTGCTGCGCCTGCCTGGAGGGGCAGGAGCTGTGCCCAGGAGCTCGCGGCCTCCCCCACCCCAAGTTAGCTGTTTCTGTGGCCAGGGCGGCCCAGGGTTGGGCCTGGGGTGCAGGCTCGAAGCCCTCTTACGGGGACTGACCACCGCGCCTTGCAGGCACTTCGCGCTTCTGCGCATCGTGAACGTGGAGAAGCGCCGGGACTCGGCGCGAGGGAGCCGCTTCCTGCTGGAGCTGGAGCTGCAAGAGCGCGGGGGCCGCCGCCTGCGACTGTCCGAGTACGTCTTCCTGCGGCTGCCGGGAGCACGCGTGGGGGATGCAGACGGAGAAAGTCCCGAGCCCGCTCCCGCCGCCTCCGTGCGCCCCGACGGCCGCCCGGAGCTCTGCCGGCCGCTGCGCCTGGCCTGGCGCCAGGACGTGATGGTCCACTTCATCGTGCCAGGTGCGCAGGGCGGGCTGTGGTTTCCAGGAGACCCCACGGGAAGAATGTGACCCTAATGACCAGGAAGGCTCAGCTTCCCCCCGACCCCCCATTTCTCCTCCAGTGAAAAATCAGGCACGGTGGGTGGCGCAGTTCCTGGCGGACATGGCCGCGCTGCACGCGCGCACCGGGGACTCGCGCTTCAGCGTCGTCCTGGTGGATTTCGAGAGCGAGGACATGGACGTGGAGCGGGCTCTGCGCGCGGCGCGCCTGCCCCGGTAATGGCGCGCTTTTCCTCCCCCCGGAGGTGGGTTTTCCTGACCCCACCCCAGAGACCCTGCCTGTGACTCCTCCTCTCCAGGTACCTGTACCTGAGACGCACTGGAAACTTCGAGCGCTCCGCGGGGCTGCAGGCAGGAGTGGACGCGGTGGAGGTCCGAAGGCCGGCTGGGGTGGGGGGCCGGGGAGGAGCGCGCCCTCGGGAGAAGAGGGCCGGGCTCAGACCTCCCGCACCCCCAGGACGCCAGCAGCATCGTGTTTCTCTGCGACCTCCACATCCACTTCCCACCCAACATCCTGGACGCCATCCGCAAGCACTGTGTGGAGGGCAGGCTGGCCTTCGCGCCGGTGGTCATGCGCCTGGGCTGTGGGAGCTCGCCCCGGGATCCCCACGGTGAGGCCCCAAGTGCCCCACCCTGTGATGCCAGGGTTCCCACCAACCGCCAGGGGCAAGTCCTGGAACTTTGGGCCTCTCTCAATCCCCAGGGGAGGCCTGTGAGTCCATAGGTGCCCTCAGTAGGGCTCAGGGCACCCGCACACCCAGCACCACGGTGGGTCCCCAGGAACCTCCAGTATCCCACACTTACGCTCGGCGCTCCAGGGTCATGACCTAGCACCAGTGGACAGACTCCTGGAAGCCCCGGTGGTGACGGGACCCTGCTCCTGAGCCCCTTCCGAGGTCTCCTACAAGCCCTTTGCAGGGGAAGCCTTGCAGGACCTGGTCTGAAGGGCACCCCTCTCACCCTCCCCGCCCCAGGTTACTGGGAGGTGAATGGCTTTGGCCTTTTTGGGATCTACAAGTCGGACTTTGACCGGGTCGGAGGCATGAACACTGAGGAGTTCCGAGACCAGTGGGGGGGCGAAGACTGGGAGCTCCTGGACAGGTGACGGCCTCCCCACTGCTCAGGGAGACAGAGGAGACGCCAGGACCTCAGAGTGGGGGGGGGGAGCTCCTGGACAGGTGACGGCCTCCCCACTGCTCAGGGAGACAGAGGAGACACCAGGACCTCTGAGTGGGGGAGGGGAGTGGACGTGGAGCGGGCCCTGCGTGCCCCCGTGGGCCCCCACCTGTTGAGAACTCTGCCCTTCCTCCTCTTCCCGGTATCCTGTAGGCCTAGAGAGACCCTCCGCCGTCTTCACTCCTGAAACCCTTTCCCACCCTCAGGGTCCTGCAAGCTCAGGGACGTCCCTGAACCAGCTCTGCCCCCGATCCTGTGGCCCTGTGGCGGCCCTGAGTTCCCCCATCCTCCCACTGGGGTCCTGCAGGCTCGAGGCAGCCCTGACACCCCCTGCCTCCAGACCAGGGTGCTGACCACCTCTCTGGCCCCAAACCCCAGGATCCTGACCACCTCTCTGCCCCCCCAC